GCGGCTCTCGGCCCGGTCCGGGCACCGCTGTGCTGACGGCGCGTTCTCCCGTGCCCCGCAGTGCCGCAGCTGCTGTACGGAGGGAAGTTGGATTTCCTCGTCTTCGATTATCTCTCCGAGATCACCATGTCGCTGCTGACGGCCGCCAGGGCTCGGGCTCCCGTAAGTAGCTCAGCCCCGCGTGCCGGGGCGGTGAGCTGCGGTGTGTTCCGGGCTCTGCTTCAGCCCAGATCCCACCCGGAGGCTGCTTAACACACGTCTGGTTACGGGGGCACGTTGGCTCACATGTAATTCTTACTTCTGTGCGTTTATTTTCATCTGTTCAGTTTCTTATAGTAAATAAGTGTTCATGTAATTTTCCATAGTAATATCCAAATATTTTGAGAAATAGTTGTTCTTCACTGTTGTGTTTTGTTGGTTTTTTTTCCTGTTAACCAAGAAGAGGGAATGGTTTGACTTAACCATTTACAATTTTCAATTATTTCAGGATTTAGGATACACTCCAGATTTTGTCTCCACTGCCATGGCTCCCTATATAAAAGATATTCACAGGAAAGGTATGCTACTCTTTGCATGAGTCTGTATGTAAATTAAGTTGTCTTCCTTATGAAGACAGACTGAGAGAATTGGAGTTGTTCTGCTTGGGGAAGAGAAAGCTCCAGGGTGACCTTATAACAGCCTTCCAATACCTACAGGGGACCTGTAATAGAGCTGGTGAGTGACTTTTTACAAGGGCATGTAGTCATAGAACAATGGAGAATAGCCTTAAGCTCAAGGGAAGATAAATGTAGATTACATATTAGGAAGAAATTCTTTACTGTGAGAGTGGTGAGGCACTGGAACAGGTTGCTCAGAGCAGCTGTAGCTGCTCCATCCCTGGAAGTGTTGAAGGCTGGGCTGGATGGGGCTCTGTGTAACCTGGTCTAGTGAAAGATATCCCTGTGCATGGCAGGGAGGATTGGGACTAGATGTTCTTTAAGGTCCCTCCTCCAACCCAAACCATTCCATGATTCTATGCTTAGATGAGTTTTCATGGTTTCTTTGACTATAACCATCTGGGTTTTTCCCTGCTATCCTCTGGGAATAATGTTTTAGATGTCAGCGAAATTGCCTAGAGAAGTTGTGGATGCCCCATCTCTGGAAGTGTTCTAGGCCAGGTTGGATGGAGCTCTGAGCAACCTGATCTGGAGAAAGGTGTCCCTGCTCAAGGCAGAGAGGGTGAGGACTACATGATCTTTAAGGTCCTTGAGGTGTTAATACAGCTTCATAGCTTTCTGAGCTTGAGAGGAGAAGGGGAGTTACCTCTGAGTCCCTAATGCCTTGTGCACAGTATGGAATTTATAGTTGCATTCTTCTAAAATGCAGTTGGTTTGGAGAGCATGGATGTTTGAATTACTTGTGTCCAGTACTGTTCCTGTAGGAGATTTTTTTTTTATGCTGTCTGTGTGCCTCATTTTATGTGTTCCTTTGGTCACTTTCTCCTTCCATGCATAAAGGAAAGATGAAAAGCATCTATAACAATTATTTTTTCTGTAAACAGTTTTGTATTGCCTTATTCTAATCCTTTCACAGGTAAAATGGGGTTCGTATTTTTAATGTGATTTTGGTAATTTACTTGATTAGATGACTGCCACCTTGCAAAGATAACAGCTTGCATGTGTTTCAGCATGCTTAGTTTTTAAAATACAAGTGATTGTTGATGCTGCTGAACTTAATTTGTCTTTCTTGTTTTATTAGGTGTCCGTGTCATCAGTAATGCTGGTGGAATTAATCCACTTGCTTGTGCAGCTGCCCTTCAGGAGGTGGCAAAGAAAGCAGATGTTGATTTGAAAATAGCTGTTGTTGCTGGAGATGATCTAATGACTGAGGTATTTTGCTCTAAGCCTTAGTAGCATTAGTCTATATAGTATGAAGGTGGCACTTCTTGTCCCATAAGAACTTACTTTGTGTATCTGTTTGCAGTAGTCTTCTACTGTTGTTAGAATAATCTAAAAATTGTTCCTTCGTGACACTGAGTGCCATGGTCTAGTAACTACAGTGGGGTTGGACTTGATGGTCTTGGAGGTCTTTTCCAAGCTGCTTGAGTCTATAATTCTATGATTCTCTGATTTTTATATTTTCAATGCATGAAGACAGTTCTTGGCATATCTTTGGTGTGTGATGTGGTGAATTCTGTGATTGTGGATCTGGTATTTAGCTTTTTGATGCCAACTGTGAATCTGATCTAAGGTCTGCCTACACTTCAGGAGAAGCTAGTATGTGCTGTTACTGTTTCTGTGTAAATTAAATAATCCTGAATGTTAAACCTTTACATGTTGCATAGTTACCAAGCATTCAAATGTTTGTCACTTCTAGCTTTTTTCAGTAGTTTGCAGCCATTTCCTGATGTTAGTATGTTTACAGGTAGCTGATCTTCTGTTTTTAAGTAATGAGTTTACAGCCACTAAGGTAATGTTAAGTGGGAGGATTGAAGTTTTAATATTAAAACAATAACATCAAATGATGAAATGTATGAGGTTTTTTGACTTAAATAATTAGTTTATCTATGAATTCTGCAAAAAATGTTGTCCATAACTGAAAAGATACTGTGAAAACAGTTTGTACATCGGTAGTGGATAAGAGGGAAGAAGTTTGCACTGTGTTTAAATCTCTGCCTGTAACTTGGACAATTATTTATCTGCATAGGATGTGTTACTCCTTGCATGCTATTGAATTGGAAGATGATCAAGTAAGATTCTTTATTTGCAAACTGTGTGCGCTGCTTGGACTTCCTTTAAGATATTTCTGCCCTATTGAAACTACTTTACCATTTGTGGTCCAGGATTTCATTACTGGTACAACAGTGAAATGGTCATGATTTGAGTTTGCTATGGACATGCCTGATTGACATGCATTATATTTTATGCTGTGGTCAGTACATAACTTAGAGGAGCGAAAAAAGAGACAGCTTTGACTGTCTGCAGGCAACTTTTACAGTGGGTATCAAGCATTATAAATTGCACTAGAGAATGTTATTCATGGTTTGAAGGATTTCAGTCATTACCATAGAATACCAAATTGATTCAGAGTGGAAGTTATTTTTCCACATTACAGATTCTACCTGTAACTGGTATTAGACCATGCAGTCACTGTCCCCTCAGTGCACTGGATTGCTAAGCTGCATAATGCATGGTCAGAAACACCCACTGCCCCACCTGCTTCTCTGGAAACAACATATTCTGAGTATCATGTGGAGCTGCAGGATTAGCCTTGTTCTCTGGCCATGACACCATTGCAGTTGTGGCAGGCACATTTCTGTTGGCAGGTTTTGATTTATTCAATCTTACAGCAGTGTGAAAGGCCTAGGGAATATACCAGTTCTTTGTAGTTGATATCTGTGAATGAACTAGCAGTTTTTACAATTACTTAGTTTTCTGTGTGCTGGAAAACTTACAGTTAAAAGTGTGTCTAAGGCTTTTAGTCATTCATTTGATTTGTGGTGTTGATAATTCTTATAGTTATGCTTAGAGTTGCTATGAAGTGGATCTGTTGTTTGATACTAATAAAAGGCTTACAGTAGAAACCAAAACACTCATAGATTTGGTATCCTGTTTGTTTTCTAACAGAAAGAGAACTTAAAAGGAGCTGGTATCACTGATTTAGAGAGTGGCAAACAGTTTCCAGAGAATATTCATAGCATGAACGTTTATCTTGGGTGAGTTAATTTAACAAGTTATATTTATGATGGAATAACACAATGAGTATATGAATTTGTTACGCTTTGCAGTTAGAACCACCTAGTATATGAGGTTCACCTTCACTATTCAGGCGACCAGAAAAAAATTTTTGTCACTCATAAATAAATTGTAATTTAGAACCTTGCAAGTTGCAGCTTCTCAGTATTACATCATCTGTAAATTCTCAAGCCAAAATAGTTTTCGTTTAATTATAACAATTGCAAAAATGCTTTTTTCTGTGCCAAGTATTCTGTTGCAGTATGGAGTAGTTTATGATGTTGTCACTAGAGAAGTGCTGCTGAGGAATTCAAGTACTGGGATGTGCTCAGAGTGCTGTGGGAGGTTCTGTCAGGCTGTGTACCATTGACATTTTGGAAAACAGCTTTTTAGGATGGTCACTGTTTTGAAAGATCTCTCTTGCCTCCTTTGTGATACTAAAGGTTTTCCATAAATCTCTAAAAGCAGGTGTTCTAGCTACCTGCTCATGGACAGTCTCATTTTCATTGTCACCATCAACTTGAGATGAATCAGTGTCAATCAGGTCTGTCAAAGGGAAAGGACTGAGAAATGGGAGAATAGTCAAGTGTGTCTCTTCCTGTTGATGATCCTGGTGATTCTGTTTTTGCTTTTTACTTCCATGTTGGTCATATGTATTATCCCTCCTGTATTTCTCTTCAGTGTTTTTTTCTAAAGTCTCTGCATACAGTCTCTTCTCTTTGACATTAATTTATGTAAAAACTGCTGTGCTCTCTCTTTTATTGTTATCGTTGCACTTTGTAAAATGCATTACTGGCAGATAGCAGTGTGTGACTGTACCTAATATGTATTTTTCTCTGTAAAATAAGAACCTTTTAATAGATGAGTCTTTTTAAATTAGTCTGTAGTGCTTTCTGTGGTTGCTGGATTTTCTCTTCATTAACTTTTGACTTACAGCATTTGCAGATCACATTTGCAGGTCATGAGTTACTGTAAGTGGAATCTAAGAAGTAATGTTTAAGATCTGTAATTGTCCAGTCCTTGTGATTCACAATTGCAAACAATGCCAATCAAAGCAGAGGGCAAAAGCAGGCTAGTATGAGGATGAGGCATTTGAAAAAGCTATTATCTCTGTTTCTGCTTCCTTAACAGATGCCAGAACAGCAGGCTTTTGCTCCTGGTTTTCTAATAAAAGTGGCACTTATTTATGGACTCCTTAATCTCCATTGCATTGAAATGTAAACCTACTACCAGCCTCCTAAACTAGTTATTTCCTAAGTTGCAATTTTCTTTGGCAACATCTGCAGTGGGTGTTTATTTGTAAAGCAAATGATAAATTTATACATGCCTGTAGAACAGATTAACATCAGAGTGTATTGGGTGAAATCTGTAAGTTCTGTAGATAGTTCACTGTTAATTCCCTAAATCTGATGATGTTTACACTTTGATTCTTGATTCAAGTGTGTAAACTCCATCTGAAAAATTTGTATTGGGGTATGGGTTCTGAAGTGTTTCTTATGTCTCTTCTTATTTGGGCGATTAGGAGTTCTGTGAGCTGAGTTCACATCCATTTTTAACAATATTAGCCAAATGGTTTTATTTACTGCTTTTTAAAGACAGTTACATGGCTTTTCTCTCTGTGTCCTGTATGTATTCAGAAACCCCATTTGTGCTTTTCACCTGTTACTGTTACTTAACACTGTACTCAGAGATGTAAACTGTTTCTTTGTGCTGTATGTTTGCACATTCTAGTTAGTATCCTTTGGTTCGTGTAG